GAGAGAGAGAGAGAGAGAGAGAGAGAGAGAGAGAGAGAGAGAGAGCATAGGTGGACGTGAAAGAGAAGTGGATGAACATGGAGCTAGATATTGGTCATGAAATGCTTTCTTTAAAATGTAAAATAACGAGCAAGTTATAGAATATTCTATGGAGAATGTACGTGTGCGTTTTCCAAGGTCAGAGAGAGCAGTAGGACGCTTCCACTTCCAAATGTTAATCATCTCAATGAAGCGTTTCCACCCACCTGTCAATCAAAGTAACTCTGTTACTCTGTTTGGAGGAGACTGAAAAATATGCTCTAATGAGGTGTGTGTGTGTGTGTGTGTGTGTGTGTGCGTGCGTGCGTGCGTGCGTGCGTGCGTGCGTGCGTGCGTGCGTGCGTGCGTGCAATAGGGTGTACCTCCCATCCCATCTTCATTAAAGTGTGTCAACAGAAGCAGTAGATGCTGCCTGGTTCAATGAAAGTCAAAATAATGTTGTCGTTCTTTCACTTCTTCCGCCGTAGCAGCTGGACAACAACAACACAGTGTTACTACTACTACACCTGTCAACCGTGTCGCTGCGGTACTCGATACTGCACCTACACCTAGCACCACTGAGCTAGCGTTGTAGCGCACCCGAGGAGGAGGCCGTTAACGTTTTACATCTCACGCTGTCACGAGCCTCGCAACCATGCACGCTTCCGTCTGTGTGGTGACACGGTTGGCAGGTGTAGTTCGGTTTAAAAAGAAAATAGTTCCTTCATTAAACATACAGGCTAGTGGAAGCAATCCCCTAGAAAGTGGCCATTAAAAGACCGACCGAGCAAGCTGAGCAGGAGCCAAACAAACAAAAAGAAAATCAACCAAATCATGGTTCAGAAGGACCAATACTATAAAAATCAAAACCAACATGTGCTGCTATTACTGACCTCGTCAAGTAGATAGACCTTGAGTAGTTACACAATGATGACCCAACCACCATACACGTTTGTGTTTGCCCTTCTGGAAAGGCTGGAAAAACAACCTTATCTGCATTATTGTGACCAACTGTAAACTTCCAGGGACCCATCCTCAGCTCTCTCGACTCCAAAGACTCCCCCCAAAGAAAGTTCAATGAACCTTAAAGGTCCCCCAAGCCAACTGCCCTTTCCCTTCATCTGCTTAAGTCTACCAAAGTGAAATAACAAATCAGACCTGTCACTCAGGGCTTGAAAGCAGTCATATAATCCCAGAGCCCCCCCCCCCCCGCAAATAAAAAGATCACCCTATACTCTTGCAAACTGCAGGGCCATCAAAGTCCTTAAAGAATCCTGCCAGATGCTGTTAAAAGCTGCAGATACTACAGGAGCTGGGGGGGGTTAACTACGCCAGGTTTAGAGAGAATGAAAGGAAACTGACAGCAAGAATTGAGAAAAAACACTTCGTCACTTCACCAGAACCAACGTCCGGGGCTGAGGTTGTCCCGCGGATATGGCTCCTGTGATGTCTCATTACCGTGACTCATTGGATCTCCAGTCTACCTTTTCACTTCCTATGCCTCCGCGCCTGCCACAACCGTGACCAGAGAAGTATTAAGTGTTCAGTTTGCCCTTGTGTCTAAAAATGTCTGTAGCATTCTTGCGAACGCAGTATCTCAGGAACGCCTGGAGGGAATTTCTTTGGCACAAACGTCGACTTTGACTCGGGATGAACTGATTAGAGTTAGTTACATTTTGTCACAGTTTGGCGCACGACACATCGTATCTGATTGCCTTGACAAATATTTTTTTTTAACCTACACATTTGCACTCCCACACACACACCAGCATTGTTGGGCTATTCAAATAACTGCTCATTTCTGCTCACACACCTTCTGTTTCTCTTAGCCTGTATCCCTCATTTTTTATACATATACGTATATATATATATATATACATATACATATATATACCAAAAGTAAAACATTGACTTTACGCTTGTTACCTACCATTACATGAGAAACGTATTTGTTGACGGTAGTTACTTTGTTCATTTGCGTTATTTTAACACAAACCAGTGTTTTTTCCACCCTTAACCAAGTAGCTTTTGTTGCCTGAACCCAACCAATCATTTCACAACGCATTGTGCGTTTCTGCAAGTGTGACACGAGGCTGGTGTGAAACGTGTTTTGGGTGCACAAACTTCGATATTCAACGTATTCCGTCGTTTGCAGAAAACAACATGCAAGATACATAAAAAGGCACTTTGTGCATATGCAGTTTTTGGTGTCATCAGTCTGATATCGAAACATTTTCAGACCTGACTTATCAGCAATTATGTCATTATTAACCGACTATGCAGGTCTAGAAAAATACATTTTAATATTATTGAGTAATGTCAAGTATGCCACTGATATTTATTAATACATGTGACCTTATTCTTTACTATGAAGTTTGATTTTTAAGAATTTAAAATGACAATGTTGATGCAGCAGATTTTCCAACCACGCTAATTGCCACCCCTGATTTTTAAATAATACAGACGGTGGAAGGTCTAAATCCGTCCACTACAGCCGCCCCGTAGTAATGAGTACCTGTGAGAGACGAACGGTACTGTAATACTCTTTGATGAGACTGTGTCAGAGAGGTGACGTTTGGATAAAAGCGTCTGCTAAATGACTGTATGTAATGTAAATGTAATGTAATGTAAGTCTATATTCATTTCCTCGACTTTCTTTTACATAAATCAGCATTACTGGTCCTGGTGGACTCTGGGAATAGTACGGCATTATTGGATTTAATGTAATCTTTTGGCCTTTGAAAACGTGCAACGACTGAGGAAGCACCGCGAGCAATAGTCCAGATCATTTGACCTTTGCACGCCAGATAATTCCAATTTACAGCCGCCTACATGGCAAAACAAGACACTTGGAATGCATTAGTACAGGCCAATTGCTTGTGTCTGAGCCTGCATGTGAGAGAGATAGAAGAAGAAGGAAGGATTGTGAAGGAGGAGAGAAAGAGATGGAGGCAGATGGTGATCGGAATGGATTCAGGGAGAAGAGGTGAAGACTTTGGAGTCTGCAGTGGTACCCCCGAGATGTTTAATTGCAGTCAATTAAGAAATGGGTACCTTTAAAAAGCAATTATAACTTTAATTAAATTTTAAGCATAAAAATGAATAAAATACTTAAACGGTCATACAATATGCCAACGAATATGATTTTTGTGGGGTTTATTACCCAGCTGTAGTCTGTTGAACACAGCTGCAGTGAGGAGTGCACAGGAATGGGAGCTGCTGGCCAATCAGAGATGGTGTTGGGCTGTGGGTAGACTTCATAATGTTTTTAGAACGCTCACTGCCTACATTAAAGCACAACAAAATAATATTCTAGGCACACATTTGCAAATTAAATGATAGGAAGGGAGAGTAATACATTTGGCAATTAACAATTCCCAAATTTCATTTTTTATATATTTTTTTGCATTGTTTAAAGTGACTAAAATCAATGTTTTTATCAACATTACTACTCGTGCGTGAAAAGTGTTGCTCGTAGTGACAAACACCACAGGATTATCGCCCAACTCTGTAGTCTTTGGTGTGATGAAGTTGAGCGCAGTATAAATAAATATGTTTAATAGTTTGAACACGATGAACAAATCATTTTGATGGGGAGGAGTGGTGGTGATGCTCCCATTAACGTGATGGGTATTGAATCCGAATAGAGCAGAATTGGTGTTGGTATCACTTTAGGGTACTTGGTACATTTTTTTAAGAGATACTCAGTCCTAAAAAAGACTGATTCATATGAGTTTCGCTAACCTTATATATTGAAACATAAAATTGTCAAATCAATTATAAATGTTTGGCATTTGGTGCAATTGCTTTTTTATTCCCTTCCTCCTAAATAGCAAATTATGCTTGAAAGCGGTCATGCTTTCTGGGGTATTTGGTTTGCCTGTATGAGAAGCGGATACAAGATCACTGGGTCATCTAAAGCTTCCCTTTATCCATTCATTTAACGATCACTTTTTTATGTCAAGTAAATGTAATATTGCTTGTGCAACCCCCAGTGGGTTAGTGTGCTAATTAGATTATCGTGGTCCATCAACTTTGTTTTCATGACGTTAGCAGAGATTACAATGCTGATAATCGGATTAGTATAGAAACAAACCGTGGGACCTTTTTCCCATTAATTTCAGATGAGAATTGTAGCTGTTTTCCCTCAGGCTGCAATTATAGACTTGATGACAGACATCCTAATCAGACTTGAGGCAGCCTACAGAGGCATCTGATTTTATCTTTGTCTTATGAGTTCCTCTTTGATTCAAATGTCTTGCGGGCAGCTGTTTGCCGAGTGCAAAGCTTCACAGGAAGTTGTCATTGTGTTCCAGAAAGTCAGATGGTTGGAAGGCGAGTGCCGCTCGACCGACAAATTTGAGGGTTTTGTTTGTGATGACTCGGGATGTTCAGACAAACATAATTAGCGTTTCAAAGAACCGCCCTGATTAGCCCCATCGTTGTAGTTGTGAGTGTCTTCGTTAGGCTTCACTGGATGCACCTCTTGACACACGTCTTTCTCATGTGATCTCTCATCCACTTTAAAGCACCTGTTTTTTTTGTCGATGCATCCGACCGGTGAAGTATTCTCACTCAATGCTAACGAGATGTTATGCAAAGTGTTCAGTGCAATCAAGCTCTGTGTGACAGCTGTTAATCTTCCCCTTGAGCTACAGTGGTCTACCAAATGGCTTCACTCAAAGGCAGAGCCAAAAACCTGCTGCCCCTCTCTGCTTGAACATGTTCATGGTGTTGCAAACAGTTGTGCACAGATAAAAAAAAACAAAAGGAGAATCTGAAGCCTGGGCTGTATTTCCTAGCCGTGATTGGTGCGTTGTTGGAAACGTTACAGTGAATTGTTGGGAGTTTAATTGCGTGTCAAAATGACATTGGATACAAACAATGTTTGCTTGATTTTCTTTTCAACATCACTCTCCTCTGTCGTGCAGATAAAATGGATAATGGAGAGGTGTACCAGCGGAGGAGAGGTACAGCTCATTCGGCCAGCTCAGATGGACAGGAAACGGGAAGTAAACAACACGAAGGGGTTGGGCAGACGGCAGGCAGCTGGCGACGAATCGTTCTCCTCATCCTCGCCATCACCATCCACAACATCCCAGGTGAGAGCGAGCCACAGGGCTGTCTAAAGTAGCTGCTAAGGGAAGTTGTCAATCTCACCGATTAAGTTGTTCGCGAGCGCAGTTGAAGGGAATTCATCCAGTGGTGAGGTAGCAGATTACATATTGTAACCAACTGAAACCCGTGTGCCAAGCGTGTAGGAGAAGTACGGTGGCCGACGCACAACATGTGAAAGGCCATATTTAGAGCCAGTGTGTGGTTTGTCCGTTTTGGGCTACTGTAGAAAAGTGGCGGTGCAACATCGCTATGTAGATATAAACCGCTCATTGTAAGGTAAGAAAAACACAACTATTCTTATTTTCAGGGGATTATACACTAAAGAAAACATAGTTATCAATATTGTATTCTATTTCTCCCACTAGATCCCCCTAAATGGCACACACTGGCCCTTTAACTTGCATTTTTAACCAAGCCAGCAGGATGGCTCTCAGGATGGTAATGTCATCTGACGATTGGTCTGTCAGTCAGTCACTGAAATATTTCTACATGGACTGTGGTGATGCGTTCGTATACAGTAAATCAATTCAAACAACAACTCAATAAAGGCCAAGCAATTTCCAATTTCTATAGAAAGACTCGGCCGGCGCTGGGCTCCGCAGAGGGCCGGCCGAATCCTGCACCACATCTTGTTTGTTTCTTTCTCCGAGTCCAAGGCTGAAAACGCTCACTAAATGTCAATTCTCCTTTTTCTCCCTCGCTCGGAATAAGTTGTTTGAATAACTTCCCCGGGCGAGTGGGCAGGTTTCCCTTAGAATACACGTTGCATTATTGAATGCCGCACAGGCGTTCTGTCCGGCCTAATGAGCCGGTTGGACTAATGATGCGTCAATCAGACGTCAAAGGCCACGCCCAGCGAAGAGCGCTGTTCAATATTTAGAGTCAGTGATGAAACAACAGCTCCGACATTTGAGTCTGGTTGTAAAGATGATTCATGTAAAAAAGAAAGAAAAAAACAACAACAACGGGGAGGCAATTAACAGTTTCAACATTTCTAGGAGCTGACAACCAACGCAACACCTACTTCACACAGTCGTCGGATCTCTGCACCACTGGCACTGAACAACTTGCTGCCTTGTAATTGGGAGTTTTGAAGTCGTAGCGGTTTTCATACTTACATGACTGACCGGTGTTGGGGAAATGGGGGTGGGGGGGGGTCACACACAAGAACTTTAACCAGGAGGAAACCGTTTTGTCACGAAAACAAACAAAAGAAGTGAAGACAGGCGTTAGTGCAGTCGTCCTTGTTGTTCACATAATAGCCTGTTTCCACACGGCTTCACTTTTTTCAAAAGACAGTTCCAAAATACATCATCTTACCTTTGTTGTTTCATCTCTGTCGAAAATTGTTTCACTGGAACCGGCGTTATGTCTTATTTTACACTGTGTTACTGTTGCTTTGGCTCAGTTTTCACAAATTTCAGTGTGAAAAAACTTTTATTCCAAAAGGTCAAACTAACTTTCTGCATTCTTACTTTAAAATGTAAAATACTGTGATTACATACAGAGGGCAAACCACTGAATCACCATCCTCAAGAGACAGATGTGTCTTTTAGTGCTTATTATGCCGACCACTGAATAAATGCATCGTGTGTTTGCAGCCAACATAAAGTATGGATCTCGATTAAGTTCTAAGTTTTCATTATTTTCAACTTTTCTTACAAATGTTGAAAGCTGATGACAGATGGATTGAATAAGGGATTTATAAGATTCAGGTTTTACGAAACGCCATCAAATCCCAAAAGTACAACATACCAAGACACACATGATGCCTTTAAATAAGTTAAACATTTTAAAATAAATGCATGTTTTAAAAGGTAGGTATTTCTTACTCTAAATGCTGACCTTTGCACATTTTTTTCCAACTTCCTATTTGTATGATCTTATCAGTTACTCTTTGGCAGCATCACTTTATGATGACAATTTTACTCTGAACTGCAACAATGATTAAAAGTCAGTGATAAATATATACATGTGCATTTTTTGGTTGATTGCATTGCATGTTACATTTAGTACAGTGCTGTAGATATGCAACAGATGCCAGTCTCTGTTGTTACCGCTGCAGTCTTTGAGGACATGACTGATGGTGACATCAAAGTGTAGCCCCTCATGATTAAAGACCAAATGCAGTTCACTAGTTTGAATGATTTGTATGTATGATGTACACTAGACTGGTTTTTCATTTGTTCTGTCAGTGACAGCAACATCATGCTCATAGTGCGGGCTGATCATTTGCGACAGGAAGTGTGGGTAGAAAAGCAAATTCTGGACACATGTTGGGTGTCGGAGGAGATTAAATGGTGGCACTATATATAGTTTAATATGATATTGAAAGCGAAAGGCCAATTCATTACTGAGTAGAACTGTTTACTGGTCACTGCGTACACTTAGGTTCTCATAAATGTAACATATGCATGCAAAATATGCTCCTATACAAACACACTCCCATTCTTATGATCACGTGCATGCATATGCACAGATGCACTTTGAGCACATACAGTGACACGTTAAGTTGCGATTGACCCAAGTGTTGTGGGTACGAAAAGGTCTGACAAGTCTAAAAACTCAGCTGGCGGTTTGATTTAAAGGGCCGGTGTGGCGGCCTCTAGCGTCGAGGCTGCAGAATGCAACCAACTGAAACTGTTGGCGGCTCCGCGAAGAGGGCCCGCTTCCGCAGATGTGAATAAACGGCTCTGCTTAAGGTAACGAAAACACAACAGTTCTTATTTTCAGGTGATTATACATTCAAAAAACATACTTATTCATTATTATATTCCATTTCTGCCGATGGATCCTCCTAAATGCTTCACACTGCGCCTTTAAGGGAATGTGCTTTTCATGCTCATTTCTAAATTTGTATCATTCATAATAAAATATTATTTACATTACATATTATATGATATTTACCATACTTTGACATTTAGTGGGATCTGTCCTGTTGTATTCCTAATTTCCTGTGGCCTTTCACAAACTCCAGTGAGAGGGATGTGTTTGGCTCCCTGAAGTGCTTCCTCACCCAGTAATCATTTCATTTAACACCGGCTAGAAGCACCGAGGACCTCGCGTCCTTCCTCTTAGTGGCTCCACTCTGTAATGAGCCCATTGTGTGATTCAGGCTGATGAAAGAGGTCTATTTTACATGAAAATCCTCGTGCGGCTTTAATACTGATTGGAAAGTAGTTTGTTGTCGGTGCTGAAAAAAACACATCAGCCATTAAGTGAGTGCTTTTTCCCCCGGGGCGTGTTTTTTTTTTTTGACACCTCGCTGTCCCAGCCTGGCAGTGTTAACGCATTGTTCTCTTCCTGCGGAGACGTAGACGCAAGTTTGGTGGCGGTCCATCAGACTGAGCAGGAGATTGATGGCGGTCCTCTCTCCCCACCATTACGGTTGATCACTGTTAGTGTGATGGATGGAGCGAGGTCGCTGACAGCTACTGACAGAAGTTGCTCTGAGCAGAATCAGAGAGGAACGTTAGTCTCATCATATTGCTGGAAATAGAGTTGGAGATTATTCAGAGACGCGAGAAGCCAAGCGTGTTGAAGGGAGACTGTAATATGCCTTCTTTTCTATTCTTGTTTTTCAGCAAGGTTATTTTCATGGACCTAAGGCTGTTCATAAAGGTGATAAAAAGCCACTCGCATCATTTCATTAAATTAAACTTGTTGTAAATAATGCTCATCACGGTTTTGAAGTTCAAAGTATCAAATATACCAAAACATAAATATAAGTTATGGAGTTGTAATTTATAAATGTATCAATCGTTTCACATCAAATGTATCACGTTTTAGTTTTCTTCATAATTTAGGACGGACTAGAGCTAAAATGATTTGTCGATTAATGGATCGGTCAACAGAAAAATGATATTAATCAGCCAGTTATGAAGCACAAATGTACATTCTCTGTTCCCAGCTTCTCTCCTGTGAGGATTAGCTGCTTCTCTCTGTCATATATATAAAAGTATTTTTTGGATTTTGAACTGTTGGTCGAATAAAACTAGCAATTTCAAGACATCCCATTGGGCAGTTGACAGTCTTATCGGCTTTGTTATTTTCTATTTATAAAAAACAAGATTAATTGAGGAATCAATCAGCATATGAATTGATACTTTGAAGAATGGACCTGTTAGCTGCAGCTGTAAGCCATTACTAACTACTTCCACCAACACACCTGGAAGAAATCACATTTGTAGGTCCCGAGCCAACACGTCGGGTTTGTAGACATTTTTGATTAAAAGCCTTTCAGGAAACGATGCCTTTTCTCAACGACTTGTGCACCAAGTGTTTCAGTGATGGTGTCTTGACACTTAAAAGAACGGAAAAGTAGAAGCTAATGGGAATCATGAGTAAGAGCAGAGTCTCTGTTACAAAGAGGCACTCAGAGCAGCAGAGTGGTGAGTATAACATGACTTTGACATGTGATTTATCAGGAACTAGACGGGAGACTAGGAGAGCGCACACCTCAGCCAGGGCCGTGTGCTCTGTCTCGCTATGTTAACGAAAATATATAATTAGCGTGTCTAACCCCCGTCATACAGATCAGCAGCGAATTTAAACAGGGAGGCTTCCCCTAAAATAAAGCGGGAAATATGGAATAAAGTCTCTAATACAAGCCTGTTATAGGTGCAACGCATTCCCACGCCTCAAACTATGTAGGTGCACCTCGAGTGTGAACGCGTCAATATATGCTCGTTACATTGCAGAGTGTCTTTTAAAAACAATACGAATACAAAACGTGAGAGTTGAAGCAGAAGTGTAGGATATTTTGGGTCGTTTAAATATCTTATGACTAAGTGAGGAGTTACCACCAATTGGATTTCATTTAGATTTTTGATGTATTTTTAGAATCCATGTTATTGTGCATTTGGAAAAGGACACGTTGCTACCCCTAACGGCGGGAGTCTGAAGATGCGACGGCTCAGAGAGCGATGAAAGGATACTTTGATGTGCTTGAAAGAAACATCTCGCCACAAAACTGAGTAAAATTAACTCAACCTTGCAGTTCTTCGGGAGAAGAAGAAAAAAGGAGTAGGAGCTGAGAGAGAGGAGGCGCAGTAATGGCAGGCTCCGTGGAAAAAAGTGAGTGGAGACGAGTGAGGAGACGAGATTAAATGAAAGCGCGATGGAAGAGAGTGGCTGCGGTGACAAAGGGCTGTCAGTTGCAGTATCGTCAGACTTGCTTAAAAGAGCATACAACATTAAGCAGGAATTTGATAGCATCAGCCGCCCCGCAGGCACACACACACACACATACACACACACACACACACACACAAACACCCTGAGTTTCCTCTATCAAGTGTAAAAAAAAGACGTTCAGGTGATCATATCAACAAATCTCTCATTTCTGCTGACAGAACTGGTGACTTACATTTTCAGGAATCATCTCAACCCAGACTGCTCGCCACTTTATTTAGACTTTTAATGCATGCGCTCTTTACAAAACCCTCCGACACATTTCACGACTCAATGGTGATCGTTTGGAATAGCCCCAATACAGACCGACCGTAATACAGTTTAGAATGAGAAATGAGTGGAAGAACCGACATAAAGTGTCTCAGGAAGGTGGCGGCATAAATTCTCCAAATCTGTGGAACTCTACTGGAGGGGTGAACACCATCCTTCTGAAAGATATTCCCTCATTGACTGTTGATGGGGGTTGAGAGCGCTGCCGAACACGATCTGTTGACTGTGAAGGTCATAGCATGTGATCCACATCATTTTTCATGCTCATCAAACCATTCAGGGACACATTGTCCTCAGTGTACAGGGAAGGGCTTCATCAAAGAATAAAGGAGGTCACTCAGTATTTATATTTGATTTGCAGTGGCCCTTTCTCCCTAATCGTTACCACCATGCTAGCAGCTCTCTGAATGACTCTCTAACATGCTCACAGTGGCAAAGCTAACGCGTTGATGTTCAGCAGGTAACGTGTAGCATGTTAGAGGACAAGTCATGGGATCACCAAAGTAATTTGGATTCACCCTCTGGGGACCACGAATGTACAGAAGCTAATGACAATCCATTCAATAGATTTCCCTCCAGAGTGGTGGACCGTCAGACGAACCAGTGTTGGTGCATTCGTGTGCCAAAGGAGGTCAGGAGTCAGGAGTGATGCGGCCGAATCCTTGAAAAAGCAGGTTTAGTTTAGTTCAATAGTTCGAGATATTCCTTTCATGAGATGCCTTCAAAACACGGGTCTCATGAGTAAAAGTTGACAGCTGTGTGTGGGGGGGTTGAGTGCTCCTCGACAGCCCTGGACTCTTGTTTTGGAACAAAAACTTCCAGCTCGCAAAACACTCCCAAACCCCTCAGCTCACATTTTCAGCTGTGTAGCAGTACCACAGGTGAGCAGCTGTTGTCGGGGGGGGGGAATCAAATCCTTTATTCTTGATCCAAAAGAGCAGATGACACAACAGTTTTTCATACCGATGCATGACTTCGACGACCTTTTCCACAAGTCTGTTGGACAAAAAAAGACAATTCCTCGTTGTGTTCTTGTGTCTTTTAATCTTTAAGATCTTTTAAAAAACTTCTCGTCCGCCTTGAGGCCTTGTACCAGCTGTGCCAAATGGCAAACACTGACAGTCTCTCAGCTCATGTTTTATTCAAACCCGGTTGAAGGTTTTTTCAGTGCAGATAGAGTTTCTACCGGCCCCGTGGCATTACAGACAGTTCCAGAGGATCGAGATGAATATTGTAACGGGGACACACAGTGTTACTGAAGGGTGTTTTTGCCCAGACTGGCTCTACAGTATGTCAGCCTATAATGGGCCGTTGGAAAGTTGATTGGAACCGATGTGCATTGTTATCAGAGGTAACGACGGCCGTTAGATTATGATGGAGTGGCCCCTGGGCCTCGTGAAGTCTGCAGCTGCGGGGCCATCTGGATAGACTCCTGGCCTTTGTCTCTCGACGCTTTCTTTCATCTGTGTTTTGCTTCTTCTTTAATCCTCTGATTTTCTCTTAACCTTTTTCTTTATCTTTGCCTCTTGTTCTCAGCTTAAGGCAGTCGAGCTTGATGTGGTCTATTAATATTGCAGGAAGGGAGAGAGACAGACGTGATACAGAGGGAGAATACACAGGAAGGTGCTGGAAGAGGCGCTCTTGCATAAAAACAGAACAGATAGCTAATTACTACGATGTAATATAGATACTTTGGAGGCTTAAAAGTTCCACTTTATGTCTGTTGCTCATGAAACTGACTCCCAAAGGAAGAGAGGAATAGTTTAAGCAAAACTAAAAGTGTGCAGTTTCACAAGAAGTTCGGGAGTTGAGTTTTCATTTAAATTAAATCATGAGTGGTGTGGTACATACCAAATGAATCAGAACACACAAAGCCAAATTGCCTCCTAATTTACAATACGGCCTGTTGCTGACAAGCAATGTAGCAATTAAAAAGGCAATTTGTTTTTTTTAATGGAGTCTGGCGCGATTCTCCCACACAAATCAGGAACATCACATCGCTTCAAGGCAAACTTGTGTGTGTGTGTGTGTGTGTAAATTAGTTAGCAAATATGTCAGTAAACATGAATTATGAAGCTTTTGCATGTCTCAAAGACGCGGTTGGTAACAAGTGGCTAAACGAAACTACAAGGTGTCTTAAGGTGCCATGTTCTGATGTTAATTCAAATTAGCATGCCATGTCTGCATGCTCTCAGTGTGGGTCACATGTAATTCCAGAGGCTGGTGATTAAACCACTCAGCTGTCTGCGGGCACGACACCTTCATGCTCGCTCTTGTGTGAGGAAAATTAGCATGTTTTAGCATTTTAATAACCCGCTGTTGCTGTCAATGGCACGGCCGGACTCGGCTGCTTGTCAGAACGTGTGGTAGACGTCTCTAAGCGTTTTTTTTTTTGGTGTGAAATGCAAAATAGCCCGCAGATCTGGTGGCATGTGCGCACACACACACACACACACACACACACACACTTCTCAAACACAAATTCACACTCATAGATACATCACACACTGTGCCCTTTTCACTTTCCATTTGAACAGTGTGTACTTTAAGTATCCATGACAGGCAAGTGGGACATGAGGCGAGACGGGATGCTGGTCACGATGTACAGAGGGCACAGAGACGGGCTGTATACTGTACAAAGCCCCTCTTACTGCAGCTCTTCTGTACTCTATGTGGTGGAACCTCAAAGTAAAACGCCTCGTGTTCATCCTCCGTTATGGACCAGTACTTCAGCACATATGTTTCGCTCTACAGTCCACAAGGGCGGCCTCAGGCTTCTGCTGATGAAACCTCAGTAGCAGGTTTCATCAGTAGGAACCCGGCTATAGAATAAAAGACTACAGTGCATTGCCCGGAGAGATCCACACAGACTGTTGCTGGAAGAAGCTCACACTGATATCTGTCTGATAGAACGGACCCAAGCCTTCATCTACTGTGTGAAGTAAATCTTGTGTCATTCCAGGCCCATAGTAGCAGTTGTTTTTATCCTGCAATCTCTCTCAATACCCAGTTTCCACCTGTATCGACTCGGTCACATATTTTCTTATTGTCCACACTTTACCAACATTGTTTCTTCCTCTTTCTTCGTCTTTTTTTTGCTCTGTAACAGAGTGCTTCCAAGAAGTCAAAGGATCAATTGTCCTTGTTTTTTGTGTTTTGTCTGCAGAGGGTTTGGCTGTGGGGGTTGCATTCGGAGCCATTGGAAAGACTTCATCGGCTACTTTTGAAAGCGCCAGGTAAGCTTGGTACCAGGAGAAAGAAGCATGCGTACAGTACACATTTTCACTGTCGAATATGGAGAAACGGAAGACATTCTGTATCGCGTAGCAGCTTGACCCCACCAGGATGATGCGTTTCAGATTAAAAATTGTGTTTTCTGTTGTTGTTTTGTTTTGGGAATACGCCTTGAGATAGTTAAGTGTAGGTATAAAGTGATTGTGGTTGAGATTAGGTAATGCGTTGGTGTGTTTGAGGTTAGGGTAAGAATTTGTTCAGGTTTGACACCTGTACCCATCTCTGTGCTGTTGTTGTGTGCTGCTGACATCTAGTGTCTACTATTGTGGTACTGCAGAAAGCAGTGCACGTGGGATTCTGGTCATTTTAGAACCAGCATCTGATTATGAAGTTCTCTCTATGGACCGATTGGAGAGAATCAAAGTGAACATAGTTATCAAGAGAAACATTGCAAAAAAATATACACTTTACTTCACACTTTATAATACAGCCCATGATTTACAGTGTAGGTAACATTGTATGAAGCAGGTATTAATAAAATACTCACCACTTCCTACTGGTACTTGAATGTAAGTGTACTTTATTGTGCAGCAGGAGTCATAAACCAACATTTTCACCTGATTATGGCGCTGGACCAAACATGAAAGGGTCACGAAAGACATCAGGATTCATCCTCTGGTCACCATGAATGTACCAGAAGTCATGGCCATCCATCCAATAGTTGTCGAGACGTCTCGGCCTGTGAGGTGTTTTTTGCGTACAGTTGAAAATGTTTGGATATAGTTTAGGATAAAAGATGGTTTGGGGTCGCTTTAAAGGTTTTGCCAGCTGGAGAGAATATGGCAGCTGTCTGGTGCTGTGTGCTGCCGCCATCTAGTGGTGACGTGGTGGTACTGACAGAGAGTGGCCGGTGTTTGGCTAGATGTTACCATTTTACCACCAGATTGTCTTTTTTTAAATAACGGCCGATATAAGTTTTCATTGAGAACAATTTTTTAAAACAGACCAGATGATGAATCCTAAGGACTTTGGTGATTCCTTGACTTAATCTAGCGTCACCTGCAGGTCACAGTTTTCTCTTGTCTTGTGACAACATATACAGGATGGATTTGCACAAAACGTTGTACAGACATTCATGGTGCCCTGAGGATGTCTCTTTCTGAATTACCGGAATTTTCCTCTTGCGCCTCCATGAGGTTTGACAGTTTTGTTTTTTTGTGAAATGTCTCAACAATTATTGAACTATTGTTCCTCACATCAGGTCAAAATGTTTTATTTTTTCATAAACATACGAAAGTTTGGCTCGTGACCAAATACCTGCATAACTAATTACGTTGCCATCAGCCTCAGCTGTATGCGTACATGCTTAAACTATGACGGTAATTATGGTAAACATTATAGCCTCTAAACATCAGCATGGCAGCGTTGTCATTGTGAGCGTGTTAAGATGCTGACACAGCTCAAAGCATGGCTGAGCTTAGCCTCTCAGAGCTGCTAGCATCAAGATCCTTAGCTTTTGTCCTTCCCTTCATCAGGTGAGATGTGTTTCTCGTGGTGTCTGGCTTCAGTGACAGTATGTATTTATTTTTACCGTAGAGTTTCATAAATATGCAGAAGCTAACTGAACTCAAACATCTGAATGCCTGGTAGACGTCCAGAGTAACATGTCAGGCAAAGTAATCAGGTGCTAAGTAATGAAGCTATATCACTAAATCAAGGAGCCCACGAGGTAGGTTGATGGTATTTGGTCTTTTTTTTTTTTTTTTTTGTTCCCTCAGAAATCTGGCCATCGGTATTGGCATCCAGAATTTCCCAGAAGGCCTGGCAGTGAGCCTGCCGCTCCGGGGTTCAGGGATGTCAACATGGAGAGCCTTCTGGTGAGAAGATGTGTGTCTGTGAATGTACAAGAATGAAACAACTCAAAGGCAAAGGCTAGAGCTGAGTACAGATGCCATTTGGATATAGCAACCCGGCTGCTCTTGTTCTCCATCAGGTACGGCCAGCTGAGTGGCATGGTGGAGCCCATTGCCGGGTTGCTCGGCGCCGTCGCTGTCGTCTTGGCAGAACCTCTCTTGCCGTACGCGTTGGCGTTTGCTGCTGGGGCGATGGTCTACGTAGTGGTCGATGACATCATACCTGAGGCTCAGCTCAGGTGAGGCGGGGAAAAGTAGATTGATGACAGTTCTCAGCACAGCCGGATTAAAGAGTGAATCGCATATAGAGACTCTTTCAGCATCGGTCTCAAACTAATCTCCCATTTTTTTGGTGTCACCAGTGGCAACGGGAAGCTGGCGTCCTGGACCTCCATCCTGGGCTTCGTGGTGATGATGTCACTGGACGTCGGGCTGGGCTGAGCTCACCGTGACAGCAGGAACACTCAATGGCCGCGATGTCGTCGCTGTGCTGCTGACATCACTCTTTTAAAAAGGGGACCAAATGAAGTGATTTATTCTGAAACACTGTTTATCCGTTTCACTACTTGAAATTCATCAGCGATGACAGAAACACCGAGCTATTTTGTAAAACAAGTTGTGAGGATGACTGTACTTGAAAAGTTCTCTTTAATGTGTTTGATTTTCATGCAGGAGCTGTCACTTTATCTTTTCTTTTTCCAAATGGCAGACATCTAATTTAGGAATGAATTTATGGCTGTTTAATGATTATTCTCCTGATTGCAGCGCTCGTACATGTTTTGTTGAGAGGATGTGGCTTTTTGAGTTCTTCTTCCCGTCATGAACGTTAAAGGATTATTATTTCTGAGGGTACTTCTTCTGGTTTTTGTATTTCGTCATGATGGCAATACTTGAAGTCTGGTTGGTTTGGTGATTTATGGGACCGTCAATGACTTACCAGATTTTCCTTTATTACTTTTTCCAAATGTTTTTTTTGTGTGTGTGTCTACACAATTTTGAAGTTTACAGTTTTTGATTACAGTAATTTGTTGACTTGTTCATCCATCATAATTCACATACTCATTACAAACTGAAGCGATACGGTCTCCATTTCGACCAAATGCAGTGCCTTCTTCTTCTTCCAATAGTCTACTGCCATCCACAGGCCAGTCTGAAGAGCCACATGTTGTGGTCCGTGTCTAATTATTGCAATGCTGAAGTTAACGCTGAATAACATGTGAAGTATCTACATAATTAAACAACCAAGTGATTCTCAGGGTTCTCCAGCGTGTGGTATTCAGAGCGGAATCATTTTGATCTTTTTAACCGTCGTCTCTGATTGATGCATGCTCTAGGCCAGTAATTATTAAACTTCTAAGGGAACGGTTTATATTATAGTCTACACTCACCGGCCACTTTATTAGGCACACCTGTTCAATTGATTGTTAAAAGAATTGCCAATCACATGGCAGCAACTTAATGCATTTAGGCATCTAGACGTGGTGAAGAGGACTTGCTGAAGTTCAAAGCGAGCATCAGGATGGGGAAGAAAGGGGATTGAAGTGACTTTGAACGTGGCATGGTTGTTGGTACCAGACGGGCTGGTCTGAGTATTTCAAAAACTGCTGATCTACTGGGATTTCCACCCACAACCATCTCTAGGGATTACAGAGAATGGTCCGAAGAAGTGAGCGGCAGAAAATGCCTTGTTGATGTCAGAGGTCAGAGGAGAATGGGCAGAGTGGTTGGAGATGATAGAAAGGCAACAGTAACTCAAATAACCACTCGTTACAACCAAGGTATGCAGAATGCCATCTCTGAACGCACAACACGTGGAACCTTGAAGCAGACGGGCTACAGCAGCAGAAGACCACACCGGGTGCTACTCCTGTCAGCTAACAGCAGGAAACTGAGGCTACAATTCGCACAGGCTCACCAACATGTGACAATAGAAGATTGGAAAAACGTTGCCTGGTTTGACGAGTCTGGATTTCAGCTGACACATTCAGATGTTAGCGTCAGAATTTGGCATAAACAACATGAAAGCATGGATCCATCCTGCCTGTATCAACGGTTCAGACTTGTGGTGGTGTAATGGTGTGGGGGATATTTTCTTGGCACACTTTGGACCCCTTAGCACCAATTGAGCATCGTTTAAACGCCACGGCCTACCTGAGTATTGTTGCTGAGCATGTCCATCCCTTTATGACCACAGTGGACCCATCTTCTGATGGCTACTTCCAGCAGGATAATGCAGCATGTCACAAAGCTCAAATCATCTCAAACTGCTTTCTTGAACATGACAATGACTTCACTGTACTCCAATGGCCTCCACAGCCACATCTCAATCTAACAGAGCACCTTTGGGATGTGGTGGAACAGGAGATTCGAATCATGGATGTGCAGCCGACACATATGCAGCAACTGTGTGATGCCATGACGTCAATATGGAGCAAAATCTGTGAGGAATGTTTCCAACACCTTGTTGAATCTATGCTACGAAGAATTAAGGCCGTTCTGAAGGCAAAAGGGGGTCCAACCCGGTACTATCAAGGTGTACCTAATAAAGTGGCCGGTGAGTGTTTATGCTGATGTTGGCATTTGGCGCAGAGCCCCTGTTGTAGCTCTGTGGTTAACCTAAAAAAAGTGAAATATTTCCTTAAAAGTTTACTGATAATTTCATGTATTTGGAATCGGATGAGCCCTAGAGCGGGTTGAGCATGCTGACCCTGATTCGTTAGTTTTCACAGGACAAACGGCTCTTCTAAGAGAACTAACTTGTGACAAACGTGACGAAGAACTGCAGCTCCAGGAAACTGCTTCCTTCAATAGCTTCAGGGTGAGTACCAATAACAACACACGGGTACACAGCACGTATCCCCACACATTTAATGTTTTGTCTTAACAAAACAGCACATGAATAGACCGAATCTAAAACAAAAGGTTCACAGAGTTAAATCACAGAGTTAAATAATGAATTTACAGTACGGGCCTCCAGCTCACTGGGCTACAGATGCGTGACTGGGACCGGCCTGTGTTGCAAGAAGTTAATGAGACTTGTTGGCATGTCCAGCTGGTCGATACACTGGATCTTGTCGATCTTTTTGAGGTATCTTCGGACGGAGAGTCGGCACTGTGAAGTCAAGGCCTTTGGATTTCCTGGAGACGACAGGAGAAGAGTTAGGAGAGAGCGTGGTGAACACAAAAAAAGAAACAGGATGCTCTTAAAAACAACACCTCTTTCCTGCAGGAGCAGCTCCACGGCCTCGTTCTGCTTCGTGGACTTCTCGATGATCAGCGTAGGGAGGTAGACGTTTGCGCCGAAGTCGATCAGCAGCTGGATGTACTCCACGCCGCAGCCGTGCCTGAGGCACATCTCCAGCACCGTCTTGGGCTGCTTGATAGAACTCAGCAGCTTTGCGTCTGTGCAGTTGTAATCCGGGTCCGCCCCGTAGAGGAGCAGCAGCTCGAAGCACTCCATGTGTCCGTAAACGGCGGCCAGGTACAGCGGCCCGCTGGACACCCTGGCGCTGGACGTCCAGAGCAAGACCTTGGAGCGGGAGTTCACCTCCGCGCCGCGCTTCAGCAGCTGCTTCAGTATCTCTACATCGCCCTCCCGGGCGGCGGTGAGCACCGGGGAGCAGTTGTTGGACGCGTTCCCGTTGGGGTTGGCGCCGGCGCCGAGGAGCGCTAAGACACAGTCCAGGTATTTCCCGCGGACGGCCGCGAAGAGAGGGGTCTGAGCCTTGACGTCCACGCAGTCTACCAGGGCGCCGTGGCCCAGCAGGACCTGCAGACAGCTGAAGTGGCCCTTGGACACAGCGGCGTGCAGAGGCGTGCCCGCCACGCCCCAGCCGCCTCTGCAGTTGATGACCTTCTTGTAGACTTCTTGGCAGAGCATCTCATCGAGGAGTCTGTCATCGTTTTGTAACACCGCTTGTCTGAGCTGGGAAATCTCACAGCAGCTTTCTTCTTCTGCAGAGGTCCTTAGTCGGAGCATAGAACCTGCTGGGAAGGAGAGAGAAAGTTAACTACACGCCAACAATATATATTTGACTAAAGGCTTGATGTAAGAATACGAGCAGCGACTTATTGAAGCTACAGCCTGAGTTGCTGCACAGAAATCCATTCAGACCTAGACTGAGGTTCAAGGTGTTTGAACCGTTTTGTGAACTTTAACACGCAAGTGTCCATTTATAAACTTATTTGTTGTCATTGAACAACTTGTAGGCACTGCTCCTATAAGCATCAGTGAGAGCGCGTGAAGCCACACTGCACGCGCTGCATCAGCTCAACAGAAGCCCACTACTCCAAACTCCCTTCAGCATGTCACACAAATTAATGTTTCACGGCTTGTCGACTGAAAAATACAACCTGTTGGTCACAACGTATTCTCGTATGTGAATAATTACGGTTTACTGGAAAATTCGGCATAAACACAATCAATAAAAAATGTCATAATCAACGTTAAGTATTTCTAAAATGCATGTCTCCTAACACGGTGTCGTGATGGGGTAATAACACGTATAGAACCGAGACTTGTTGTGACGTTATTGAATGAATGCCGAACTACCGACGGGCGGATAATGCTCCGTGTGTAACTACAGGAGCTACAGTGTTTACTTAACGTTACTCTCCGTTCACAGTAACGTTAACCTCTCTGTATGCTAATACGCGCTCCTCGACAGGAAGAACTTCGCTATTATTATTCAGCTACAACAACCACCGAGATGTCCAGTTCGATATTAAACTACACGTTTCGCGTTACACATCTCGCCTTCCTCCTGTGTTTATTGTAATGAGCTGTGGTGACACAGAGAAGCTGTTCTGCTGTTTAGGTTTAATATTAGCCTACCTAAGACGTGTCGCCATCAGCTGCCCTCTTCATCTTCCTGTTTGTGCTTCTTCTTCTTCTTCGGCGTTTCTGTGTTGTGCATCATGTTCAGTTTAACGTCGCATTGCTGCCCTCTGGTGGTTCACTGCTGTAATAACACGGAGGAGCGCGTGGCGCCTCCGGAAACATTGTAGATTTTAAATCTGTCATAATATCTGTCATATTGAATGCATTAAAAAAATCGAAATAATAAACTCTCAATTAAAACATTATTTGGCTAAATTCATAAAGCCCTCAAGTGTTCAGTCATCATACTTGATTTCATATAAAAGTTTTATTGGAGTTTTATTTATATTCATACTAATTTAAATGTTTTATAATGTTTTTATTTTTTTATACCAAATTTACAATATCAATTACACTTTTAATTCATGCAATATTTTACTTTAAATGGGCAGTTATGAAAAGTGTCATGGAATAAAAATGTATTATAAACTTTTGACTGACTTTTAAAAAAACGGTATTTTGAAATACAATGTTATGCAATTAAATAAGAATAAACTCTAATGAAACTGAAGATGCAAATGATGAAGCAACATATCATTTGAATATACCCTCAGATTGTTGGCTGATTTAAATATTTTACTCAATTTATTCCTATGTTTTTTGTTGTAAATGTTAAAGCAGGGTTAATAAGTAAGAGGACATATTATATGCAGACACATTATGAAATGTAATGAAGGAAATTGAATGTATTCTTGAAGTCAGACGAGAGGGGAAAGTCTCCTCACAAAGAGAAATACAATCGTATCCATGGCAATGGACTGACAATACTCGGCTATGGTTGCCTCATCACTGACTTCCACTTTATCTGCTCCCTCTCCAGGCAACCTAGATGGCATCCTTTCTTTTGAAGCGAGGTCTATTTATTTTGCACGTGCGTCACAGAGCCTTTGTTTGGTTAGTGATGAGCTCGCCGAGTTGGCTCTTGGACAACAACAAGGCCGTGGGGGCAATGCAGGAGAGAGAAGTTCCAACATTTGAAACTACTTCCTTTGGCCACCCAGGAAAATATCCCAAATATTCCTAAAATAAATTAAAAAAGTAACAATTTGTACCCAAACAACACTAGAATGCTGGTTTCTGTAAGGATCCTTAGCTGCATCCCGCCTGAGTGAGTCTGACTGTTTCCATTGAGCTCCAGGGGTTTTACAACATGGTAATGAGCAGCGTCGGCCTCCTCTGTCCACTCTGCTTCTATGGCCGTTGCTGAGAGACAAAGCAGAAGTCAGCCAGGCGCTCACAGAGAGTGGAGAAGAGGCCTTTAAAGCAGCCCCAACATAACTCATGGTCGGTTTGCCTGGGGGGGGGGGGACGACTAGTCAGTGGAGGGAGATGAGAGCATGGAAGAAGGGGTGAGAGGAGAACTTTCGACTGGTACGGATGATGAGAGTCTTGTGGGAAAGCAGACCTGAAGAAGCTGCATGTTTTAACGTAATGACTGCAGTGCATTGATTCCTGCAATGCTCCTGTGGTGATCAGGCCGAGGCTCTTTTTCTTTTCTTCAGGAGGTTGTGATTGTGATGTGCTCTACAAGATGACAGGTACACTTGTGCCACAGAGGCAGGCACTGTGGACTCTTTGTGTGGGTTTGATCGCCGCAGCTGCAGGTGAGAAGCTTCTTTTTTGTCTAAGACAAAAAAATACAAATGTGACGTTTGGTTTTGGGTAAAAATATAAAAGTATTCAGTATTCCCAAAAACAACAGCTAAAAACACATTCATTTAGCCGTTTCAGTCGCACAAAATTCAGCATTTCAATGAAAGTCTGCTTCCACGTTGATGCATCACTAATGTATAAGTCATTGCATAATAATTACTTTCACTTTTGATACGTTAAGTTCATTTTTCTGATAAAACATCTGCACTTTGATGCCGCAGGCTCCATTAAATGAACTAAAACTTTACTTAAGTATTGTGTTACATGGGGTGTCATAAACATTTTTGTTTCAACAGAAAAGCATGGTGTCTGTCATAGTATCGTATTTACTGGTATGTTAAGCTCAAACTTCTTAATTAGAGCAACACACGTCACAATAGTTAACGGGCAAAAATCACATCTCAAAATTAAGTATTACAAGTGAAACGTGACACAGTCTGTATGATGAAGGAAAATGTGAAACACCTGTGACTCTAATGAGCTCTTGCTCTTCTCATCATGCGGTTTATGATATATGATGTTTATGAGGTTTAATATGACTCATATTACAAATTGACATCCTGAACACGGAAGGTTGTGGAAATGAACAAGTGGAGATCTTGACATTTTATGAATCCATATTTTAAGCTGATTCATTAACCATTGACTCCTCCAGGGGACGTTCCTTGTCCGAAAGGTGGTCGGATCCACCTGGCCGGCCTGCGATGCTATTGGCTCTCTGAGAGGACATCTTCATGGCCTGAGGCGCAGGATTCATGCAGAGAGACTCTGGGAGGAGATCTGGCATCTGCTGGCAGTCTGGAGCTGCAAAACTTCATCCATTCCTCATTTCCAGTGTGAGTGCCACACACAAGCGTCTCCTTCCGTGTGTCTATATTTGCTTATATCTACTGATATACCCTTGTGTTGGCTTAGGAAAACCACCGCGTGGATATGGCTGAAGAGATCGGGGGGAGAAGGGTCTGACCCAGGGTCGGAGCCAGTAAGTCCTGAATGGTGGGCCGGAGGTGCCGAGAGTCAGGGGGTGTGTGCTCAGATGGCCCTGGGGACTCCGGGACGGTGGACGGAGGCTCAGTGTGTTGGACGCCACCGCTTCCTCTGTGAAAAAGAAGTAACTGGTGAGACTTTCACTTCACTGGAGAACACCAGAGACACACATCTTTTATTTAATCCTCATGTATGGCTAATATTATTAGAAATGTGTCTTGAAAAGTACCACGAGGTGATTTTGGTTGATCCCTCTTCATGCAGAGTCTTTACCTTCTGTGGACAGTTACCTGACTGGATTGGCGCTCATGAGCGGCATCTATGCTCAGACCCAGATACTCCCCTCTCCCAACGTCCCAGACATCGGACAGCTCACAGTGGAGGTCAGTGAACACTGGTGAAACCCTGGTTCCAGACCTAAGGGGTCACAAGATGAACCTAAAGGGTTGATTAACAGAAAAGGAAAGAAGGAAAACATCAGCAACACAGAATTATGTGAGGAAAATGTAACTTCTTCTTTTCTCCTTTGACACCCGCAGATGCAGCTGTTCCCAGGGATGTGGTTCAGTCACGCAGGTCAGTTGGTGTCAGTGGAGCTGGTGGTCCAGCCCAGCCCAGTGTCCTCTCTTGCCCGTGTCCAGATCCTCCGACCCTACTGCAACCCCAACCACCACCTGGTCCCTCCCGGTACAGTAGATGGGTCACTGTGGTGGCTTTTCTGGGAGCTCCTGATACCGCCGGTCATAATCTCCTTTTTTTTCCTCCTCAGGTTGCAGCTCTCTCCTCAATCCATTCAGCTGCTGCTCCGCCATACCTCTGTGTAACACCACGGGGGGCTGCAGCATGGGCCAGTACTGGTGCCACCTGCTGGAGGGCTGTGTGCCCACCGCCAGTCCCTGCAGCCCCTACGACTCTGCAGCAGGGGCCCGCGGCTTTGCTTTGCCGCCCAGATACCTTGCAATACCTCCCTTTTACCACCTGGTGGCAGACCTGCCAGTGAGAATAAACCCTAGCTCTGAACTCAACATTCTAAGCGTGAGTTGACCAAGATGGATGATGTTTGAATACAAAATATGTTTAAAAAAAAAACAATAGATTCTTTACTCGTTTTCCTGTTTTTTTTTTGTTTTTGTTCGGTAACAGCTGGTTCTTCCAGATAAAGCGATCACGGTGTACCCTGATGACATTGTGGCTATACAGCACACTCGCGACTCTGGTACACTCCTGCATTGCCTGAACAGTGACGCCTCTTTGGACTCCCCCTGGCGCCAGAGTTACGTGTCCCTTGGGAGGACAGAGTGGGGAGGCTGGTGGGAGGGGGGCCTCACTTCCCTGCCCCAAGGAGGCCGGTGGGTGGACGCGGTGGTGTGTGATCTGAGGATGCTGTACGTGGACAATCTTCACAGAGCTACTGAGCACGATGACAACTCCGGCTTCACAACCACGGCCCCAGATATTCGGGCCCTGACAACCGGTCCTACTCCGAGTGAGAGGTCTCAATTTGGGCCTAACGTCATCCACCCTGTGCCGGATGAAAATAACCAGATTCATGTCCAAATCAACGTCCCAACACTCATTGTTATCAAGGTCCTGTCTGGAGGGAAGGCCAGCAGCTCATGGTCAGCTCCAGTTCTCCAGACTGGGGTCCCCTTCCTTCCATCTTGCCCCAAAGAGGTGGCTCAGTCTTGGGCTGGCTGTCAGAGACAGTCCCGTGATGCCTGGTTCTCCTCTGCGACCCTGGTGTTGCCCTCAGTCGGGCTTCAGACCCTGAACATCAGTGTGATGGATGCAGTACGCTCTCAGAGTGTGAGTGTGAGGGTTTGTGGCTACGAGGCCGTGATGGGGCTTAGTGTTGAGCCAAGCGGCTGCTGGAGGATGCTCGTAGACACTCCACAGGTGAGAATGCAAAAAATGAATTAACAATAAACACATTCTGCTTATTTGAGCAAATAGTTCAAGTCAGCATGGAGTCAACATATCAGCAGCGTGGCTCTAGAGATGGCAACGAGGGCTGGTTGGTCCACCACATTGGTCCAGACTGAAATATCTCAACAACTATTGGACGGATTACCATTCAAATTATGTAAAGACTTTCATGGTCCTCAGGGGACGAACCCTCACGATTTTTGAAATCCCTGGACTGTTCACCTATTGACAAGTCAAATGTATCACTTATCATGTGAAATACAGCCACGTCTTCTAGATGCATTATTGGCAAAACATTTGGTACAAACAGTCATGGTTCCTATGACCTGCAACTAATTTTAGTATAACGAACACATTCTTTGTAAGACCAACACTTTTGGGCTTGTGGCTGATTTCAACACAATTGCAACTGTCAGCATGTTTGTAATGCAAAGCACTGAGCTGCTAGCGAGACTGAAGACTCTTCATTCACTCACTTTTCACAAAGGAATGTTGACGTGTCCAACTAAAAGTTTGCAAAAAGGCACTTTAGTTTTGATTATTTCCACTCTGACATTTGTATTTGATGTTTTTTTTTTTTTTACATTGTAGACATTTATAGCCAAAGTGGAGAGCGGTTCCTCAGTTACATTCACATGGGTGATTGACGACCTGGAGAAGTTTGCCCATGAAGGAGAATCTTACAGTGTGGTTTTCAAGAAACCTGCTGAGTATAAGCTCAGGGTAAGATAATGTAGTTGTCTCTGTTAACTTTGCTAAGTTTTTGATTTTTTTTTTTGTTTCAGTAGAAAATGAAATTGATGTTTTTTTTGATTAATTACATTTGATTACATTCTGAGCCTTTATCCAAAAAACAAGAACCTGTTCTCTTTCTGCTAGGTGACAGCTTCCAACCATGTGGGCTCCCAGAGCCAACAAATCATCCTGACTGCTGATGAATTGACCCCATTAGCTGAGCCAGAGTTCCTGTTAGTCAGGGAGGTCGTAGCTGTGGATGCTGCACACCTCTACACCCTCAGGGTCACAGTGGACATCTCTCTGCCAGTCACCTTCAGGTAAGGCATCGCAGAGGGAATCCTAGGGAAGGCATGCTTTACACCCTCGACCCTTGACTACAACTAGAAATGTACCTCCATGTGGTGTATGTCATGTAGGTGGGATTTTGGGGATGGCAGTAGCGAGGTGATCCACACCCACTGTGCTCCATGTCAGACCATGGAAGTGCTTATAGCGAGAGGAGAGAAGCAAGTATATGTCCAGGACTCTGTGAACTACACCTATCCCATCCCAGGTAAACACACACAAACTATTGTTACTATTATAACAAACTAATCTTTTTTTTTTGTATATCCATCTCCAAATGTGTTGTGTGTACAGCAACTTTTTCTAGTCTTTGTTTTCATGCAGACGACTACACACTTCACGTCCAAGTCTCCAACCGATATGACAACACTGATGCCTCATTGAAGATAAGCGTCCGCCCGCAATTACATCGCCTCCTCATTTCCTCTTCCCTTCCCGCGCCCCTCGTCAAACAGACTCTCCTTCTGGAAGCGTCCGCAGAGCCCTCCACCTACGCCGTTGTCTACACATGGGACTTTGCCGACGGCTCCGAAGCCGTCCGAGGCACCCACCGTAGGGTCAGCCACACTTTTGCATCTGCAGGAGTTTATAACGTCACAGTGTGTGCCAACAACACTCTTGCAGCCCTGACCTCCTGGCTCGTGGTGGAAGTTATGGAGGAAATCTCTGGATTAACGGTCAGCTGCAACGCACCCAGTGAACTAAGCTCTGCAGTAGATTTCCGAGCGACAGTAGCCACTGGTACGGGTCTCATGTGGAGTTTTGACTTTGGTGATGGGTCCCTGCAGGGAAACCGTACAGATGGTTCCATCTCCCACGTCTATAAATTGCCAGGGAACTATACAGTAGATGTAACTGTCTCCAATTATCTCAGCCAAGCTCATCAGTCTATCGGCGTAGAAGTCTATAGATTGGCTGTTGGTGGAGTTCTCCCTACAGACTGCATAATGAGTGGAAGAGACATACAGCTTACCGCTCGTGTGAATGGGAACGCATCCATTCTGACTTTCCATTGGCTGTTTGGAGATGGATCACCGCTGACTGTGGTGAGGGGACAGTCGACGGCCATGCACACATTTCAAAGCCAAGGGATTTCTGATATCAGCCTGACTGTGTTTAGTTCTGTTACATCTGCATCATTTAATACAAGTATCTGTGTTGAAGCGCCAATAGCCAACATGACAGTGCTGTCATCACAGGAAGTAGTGGCCGTAGGAGAAGAGGCATGCCTCAGGGTGTTAGTTTCCCCTGTACAGATGAGTGGTTACCAATTTAAATGGTTTAGCAGCCCATCTAGTCTCATGGCCGTGACAGAAAACGCTCAAACGTGTTTTATCTTTAAAGACGAAGGTGTCGAAGAGGTATCAGTAACGGCAAGTAACAAAGTCAGCAACCAAACAGCCGGAGCTTGTATCACCATTCAAAACCCCGTAAGGAAGCTGTCTGTGGCGCATGATGGTGAAAGTGGCACGCTGACAGTGAATACCTTGGTGTCATTCTGGGTTGCTAGTTGCACTGGCAGCAATGTGTCAGTGCTGTGGGACTTTGGAGATGGATCTCCGGTGGAACGGAGGCAAAACGTGTCACACGTCTTCACTTCGGCGGGTCAGTTCACAGTCAATGCCGCAGCATTTAATGCTGTTAGCCGTGATTCTGTGACCCTCAAAGTCAATGTTTTACTTCCTATTTCAGACATTTCCCTTCACACCAACCAGCCTTATGCTGTAGTGGGGGAAGAAACTATTATCTCAGCAATTAGCAGTGCTATCAGTAGCACCAACTACTACTGGACCGTTGACGGTATGATCTCAACCAAACAGGGGACTTATCAGTTTAGATTTGCTTTCCTGAAACCAGGGGTTTATCAAGTGAGGGTTATAGCACAGAACTTGGTGAGTAGAAAGGAAGCAGCTATTTTGATTGAGGTCTTTGAAAGAATTGAGGGTCTTCAGATCGAATGTCAGAGCCTGACAAACATGAAATACGTACCAACCCAAGAGGAACTGCTGTTTACTGCTTCAATCGCCAAGGGCTCCAATGTCACTTATCACTGGCTAGCTACACAGAGCGGAACAAACCGACAAATCTCTGGTGATGGAGAGCTTTTCCATACGTTAGCTGAAACTCCTGGTGGGATTTCAGTTCAGCTAAGAGCTTGTAACAAGTTGGGTGAGGCCACCAGCATTGTTTCTTTAGTAGCAGTACAGCTTGTAACAGGTGCACACATTACAACACAATCAAACATTGTGGCATTTGGGAAATTGGTGAACATCTCTGTGTCTGTGGTTACCGGGTCAGACCTACAGTACCTTTGGTACGTGAAATCTGATCTTTCACCCCTGCAGACCCAAGCGCCCTTTCTTCTCCACACTTTTGCAAGTGTTGGTCTTTGTCTTGTTAAAGTCTCAGTTCAGAATGTCCTCAGTCACAGCAATGTCACCAAAGAGTTTAGTGTGCAAGAGGAGGTTCAAGAGGTGGGCTTTGAGATTGAAGGAAAGACGGATCCCTTTTATATCACCACGAGTGCTGCCGTTCAACTCCATGGGCGTGTTCGGAAGGGTAGTGATCTGCACTGGAACTGGAAAGTTGGAGGTGCTGTGCTTTTTAATGCTCCCAATCAGACCTTTAGCTACACTTTTCCATACGCAGGCCTCTCTCAAGTATCTTTGAATGTCTCCAATGGGATAAATTGGCAGACGGTTTCACACAGTGTCGCAGTCGAGGATGCAATCAAAGGACTAATGCTGAAAATTTCCGGGTCTTCTTTCTGCACCGAGGAAGAAGTCACTTTTATTCCAACAATCTCCAAAGGAAGCAATGTGAACTTTGCTGTAACATTTAGCAACAAAGACTGGATTTATAGTCAGGGTGTTTTTGAAGGGCGGTTCACCACATCAAGCCTTCCAGCAGGGACACATCTCGTTACAGTGAAAGGTTGGAACCACATCAGTAGTGCAGAGGTGTCTTCCAGCATTCTGGTCTCTCAGCATATTCAAGGTTTGCGACTTGTGAACTGTTGTTCTGATCCTCTAGAGGCTCTGAAAGGAGAACAGTTCAAGGCAGAAGTTCAAAGTGGTTTTCCAGTCAACTACACCTGGATATTTCACTTGGTGGGATCTGAGCCCACCCGGCTCACGGGACAAGAAGTGATCTTTACTCCACCAGAGAGTGGTTCACTGTCTTTCAGCGTGCTCGCCACCAATGGAATCTGCTCCAAGACGGTAAATGATACCGCCACAGTGCAATGGCCTGTTAAGAAGGTCAAGCTTGTGTGTCATTCAGAAAGAATATTTGTTGGACATGCTGTCGTGTTTTCTGCAAAAGTGAAAGGAGGGAGCAACCCCAGATACCTCTGGTACTTTGGAGACTCCGCTGAAGCATTTGTGACAGACTTGAGCACAGTCAATCATACTTATTATATTCCTGGGAAATACAGTGTTATGGTCAAAGTTCTCAACGGGGTCAGCAATGTGTCCACACAACTACACATGGAGGTGGAGGAGCCCCGGTGTCCCAGCCCTCAAGCTTCTCTTGTCCAGAGCCGGTCTACTATATTCAGGTCTAGACGGAGCTTCTTTGAAGCAAGCGTGGACATCAACTGCTCTGCTTACAAAGCCACATACTTATGGGAGATATTCAAAGAGTCAGATTGCAATAGTTTAGAATTCTCTGGGAACAAAGTTGCTCTCAGAAGTCAGGTAGATGCAACTTCCCCTCTTCTCTTACTCCCGAAGCATACTCTCGGGATGGGACAGTATTGCCTCGTATTCACCGTTTCACTCCAGGGAACTCCTCTACTTGTCAGACGACAAACCAGCGTTACAGTGGTCCGCTCAGCGCTGGCAGCTGTCATCAAGGGAGGAACTCACAGACTGTGGCCCAGCCTCAGCGACCTCGTCCTAGACGGATCTGAGTCCCAAGACCCTGATGTAGAGCCAGGAGTGGAGGATACACTGCAGTACCACTGGACCTGCATGACGGTGGTAAAGGCCTCTTGATGTTAAAGTAACCTTAAAGTGATGAAGTGGTATCAATTGCTATTGTATGTCACTGTGATCTTCCTGATTGAAATCTACTGTTTGTAGGTGATGCTAACACCGGGGTGTTTGTATTTTCAGAACTTCACTGATTCTCATTTTGTAAAGCAGCTCATTGGGAGTAACAGCAGTAGAATGACTGTACCGAGCACACAGCTGCACCCAGGCACCAACTATGTTTTCACCCTCACTGTACACAAGGCAGGGAGGAGGCCTGCCTCTGTCAACCAGACTGTGAGTATTCCCCATAATCCCACTCTTTCACAAAAGCATACTTTATCACTTTAACAATGACTTTCAATGTTTTTTTCTTTTTCTTGTACCTGCCGTTCAGTTGAGAGAAAAGAGAGAAGTTATTTTAAATATCTCTTGCAAATGAATAGTTTTTAAGATTTGGGCAAATATGGAGGAACTTTTCGGCGAACAACTCGCTTATCACACATACTTCTGTTTTTTTTTTTTATCTTAAGGTGACTGTGTGTGAAGCTCCTGTGCTTCCTGTGATTGTGGAGTGTGTGTCCTGCTCTGTCCTGTCCTCCCATCACCACGTTAATTACAACAGCCCCATCATCCTCTCTGGACAATGTGGACAGTGTGATGACCAGGCTCAGGTAATGATTCTGATAAATACTTTCTGGTTACATGTGAAGTCATGTTTTTAAAGTAAAGGTCCCATATTGCAGAAAGTGACATTTCCACTTTTTTTTTTGATTAGAAAGGAGTTTTCAGACACTGTGCCTTTAAACGAGCCGTCAGAACTTCTATAATGTTCTGATGTCAAAACTATGCAGTAGTGGACACACACCGTGAATATGACAAATAAAAAAGCATTGGTGTTGCAACACATTGTGCTGCAGTCTCTTTTTAATTTGAGTGTTTATCGGCTGAAATAATTAATTTGTGATTGGACAGTTTAATCTATATTCAATCTCAGCAATGCTTAATTAGGTAAATATGTGAACAGTACAACGGTTTATTGTTTGCAGCCAAGAGAAATTACAAATATTCACAGAGAATAAGACATCCGGTATTATTATGATTCATTTGTGTGTCTTCTCTCAGTACAAATGGAGTGCTGAGGACCAGACTGGCGCGACCCTTGACCTTAACGAGGCGTCCACCTCTACAGGGAGACGTTCTCCTAACTTGGTGGTGCGTTCAGGTGTCCTGCAGGCAGGGCAGAGTTATACCTTCACTCTCAATGTATCCCAGCCTGGCAGAGAGCTGTGGGGCAGCGCCAGCCTGACGATACTACCTAACAATCCGCCGCACGGAGGCCTGTGTGATCTCAGTCCAGAGTCAGATATACGTCTGCTGGAGACAGTGGTCACCTACAGCTGCTCGGGTAACACTGTGGTCTAGAAGCGTTAACTAAATCCAACATGTATCAATATTTGTCACTTTCAATGGAGAACAAGCAGCTTGTTGATTTGACAAGTCGGACTGTGTTCCACTAAAATCGGCTCTTATTTGCAGGGTGGCGAGATGAAGAAAGCAGGGCCTCTCAGCTGATCTATACCTTCCAGGCAGCACCATGCCAGTCCACTGGCACGGTGTGCCCCCTGCTCACTCTGTACAGGTGAACAGGGGCCTCAACCTACAGCTGTTATTCAACTAGGAAGTGTGATCCTTACCTGGATATTAGAAACAGCATTAAGAAGCAAGGTTTGGATTTACTTCCTGTCAAACTGAAGCTGTTTATCTTTTGTGTCTTCATTTCTCTCCCCAGGGGTACCCGTTCAACATTTGGCAGCCTGGTTCCGATGGGAAGTCCTGGGCGAGAAAGAAACGCGTCAGTAATCTCCGTGACACTGCTGGTAGAGGACCACCTGGGGGCAAAGGTCATTGCTCTGAACAGGTAAGCTACCAGGGTTCGATGCAGCTGAAGCAAAATAGCACAAGCACAATTCTGTAATGTGCATCTCTTGCCACCGTACTATATTTTTTATTGAGGTTATTACACATTGTGCCAAATGTCTTTGTCATGTTTTCCATATTGCTCCTCTCTCCAGAAAGTTGACAGTTGAAACTCCCCCAAGGGACGAAGTTGCCACTCAGTGGCTGAGGAACAAGAGCCAGACAGAGCTGTGGGCTTTGGTCCAACATGGCAACCCTCAGGAGATCATCCCTTACTCCATTGCCCTCACCAGCCGGCTCAATCAGGTCGTGTGTCAGCATTATATCTCATTTACCAGTCCATGAAATTACACTTGAGACTGATTATGATTAGCTATAACTAAACAATACTGAAGATCAAGATCTCTGAAGGTTTGCATTTGTTCGGAATCTGGACTGATGAGTTTCACCCACCCACTTGTCCACAGATGGAGTCTGGACGGACTGCCACGGAGCTCATGGACAGAAGGGAGATCCGTGAAAATGTGACCCAAGCCCTGGCCTCCCTCCCCGTGTCCTCCCTGCTGAGTGTCGATCAGATCAGCTCAGCGTTGTCACAGTCTACTGTAAGTAATCGCCTACTTTGTTTCCTCACCGTTCTCAGCCCCAAATTTTAAACAATTGATCAGTAATGTCGGAAATGCTTCAGAGACGACTCAAAAAGATCTCAAACGTTTTGATTTTGAATCCATTGAGAACAGTGTCATATCGGTGCCCACTGTAAGTCATGCAAACACAGAAACACAGCGAGAGCAAAAAGACGTGAAATAAAGTTCACGCCAGATCTTAACCCTTATGCATCACGATGGACATTGTCTTTTTTATAATTTTTTTTCTTGTTGTTGTTATTAATGCATATGATCTAAATAATAACAGAAGTGTGAGTTTTTAAAATTTTATTTGAGGTTCCACCTCCTTTAATAAGTCTATAATATATTGTGTAGCCAAAATACAGACACTGTAAATGTCCCCATTGAAGCCCATTCAAATTCTACAA